GGGGGGGGGGGGACACCAGCCCTCCCCCTTCCCGCCCCTTCTCCTAATGTGGTCGGGTCCCGGACTCTGTGCGGTAGGAGGAGGCCCACTTAGACTGCATTCTCCCCAGCTCCTGGATGATGCCCTGACCAGGAGTGGGAAGCAGGGAAGTGTGGGCAGAATTAGTCTCACCATCAGTCTAGAAATCAGAAAGAGTTGGCAGTCACTGGGCCCAAGCACAAGGGATAAGGCTCACAGAGGGTGGCCCATTGGAGACAGCCAGGGAAGAGGCGTCCCTGGGTTTCCTGCCAAAATACTGGCCCCGTCCTGCTCCCACACTCCCTCGCATTCAATCCCAATTGTCCTCCCCAGGGCTCTGCCTACCAAGTTGGCTCTCTGTCTGCTACTACTCACCCGTTTGTTCGGTCTTGACAATGACATTGTGTGTGGACTGGAACAGGTCACTGCTGCACTGGCCTGTGAAGGACAGATTGGGAAAGTCAGAGCGGGCCCCCATGGAGCCAGAGCTTAAGCAAGGATGCGGCTGGCTTCTTGGAAAGGCGTCTGCCAATCCCGCTGCATGATCACCTCTGTTTGCTTATGGGAGGGGGCTTCCCTCTCTTCATCTACAACTCAAGCCTGAACTTCCTGGCCCAGAAAATCAGTATCTCAGGCACCCACATTAGATGGAAATATTTGGCCTTGTATAGGGAAGGCATCCAGTATGGTGGAAATAGAACATCAGAAATCAGAAGGCTAGTTTTCCACTAATAACTGCAAGAACTTTGCCTTCCTGAGTCTTGGTTTCCTCATCTGTAAATTTAGGGGATTAAACTAGATAAAGTCATTACTAGATGGCATCTAAGGTACTTTTCCATACTAAAATATGATATGAAATGAAAACAAAATTACAAGGAAAACCATTTAAATCTAATTGACTATTCCCTCTGATCTTAAATTTAATCAAATCCATTTTGATTAGATCCAATCTATGAGATATGTCTGGTAAGTGCAGTGATTCTTCTCGTCTTTACGCCCTGCAGCTCCTCTCTGGATGTGTCATAAATAAAAGCACGTATATACATATGAAGAAATCTCATACGATTTTCCTCTCTAGCCAGATTATAAATATCTCAGGAGCAGGGTCATGCCTTTAAACCCTCTGACCTTCAGTTGTCCCATCTGTAAAATGGGTACAATATTTATTTTCTCAGAAAGTCATTAAATGAATCAACTCACTTAGCGTGCCTTAATAAATATAAGCTAATGGGATGTCCACAACAAGGTAAACAACAAATCAAAGGGGAGAAATCTTGCCATTAGGCACTTCCAGAGGCACCAGCAGCACCCAGTGAGACCAAACAAGTCCTGGGAGGTCAAAGATGGAAGGTCAAAGACGGCCACATCATCTCCCAGGGCTCCCTGCCACAGGCTTCAATCAGGGCAAAGCTTTAAAGGACTGGATTTCATTGGAGGTGAGGAGGTAAATATTTTTAATTCCTCAAATGTAAGTCTGCTCTTTCTGAAGATTCCTGGGGGTTATTTATAGAGCCTTGTTTGGTTTGGTTCTAGTAAGAGAAAAATGTGCAGTTGCAGCTGTGAGGTGGGGGGAAGAAGGAAGTTCCCAGGAGCTGAATGAGGTCACCCCAAGTGGCCAGCACCACAGCCGGCGCTGTGCCCAGACTGGGTCCTGCTCAGCGCTGGTGGCAGCCGTCAGGGCCTGAATACGGCTCGGAGCCCCGGGCTCGTGCTGTCCAAGCGCAGCTGGCCACCTCCGTAGGGGTCCTGCTGAGACAGGCCACTCGCCCCTCGCGTGTGTCGCCGCTTTCCAAAACAGCGTGGTTCTCGGAGGAGCTGGTCTTTTTCTAGCCACTATCAGGGCAACCTCATGCCAGGGTCAAAGACATTCTGCAAGACGAGTCATGTGCCCCACCACGTCTGAGCGTGTCTCAGCTGTCACCGAGGCACAGCGTTTCAATGGTGCCTTCCTGGGTGCTGGGTGAGACCTCAAAAGAGAGACATTTGCCTCTAGCAGCACCGGCTCCAGAAATCACTGCAGAAACACCCTACATGTGTGCCGACCATTAGCTCTAAAACCCTCCCCCTGCCTTTTTTTTATTAGTTAATGAAACTTTTAAGAATCTGTTGAAATATCGTAAGCCTTTTCCCCTCCCCAAACACAAACATAGATCTAATTTTGTGTATCTTCTTACCATCTTAGGTTCCATCTTAAGGATCTAGGTCTAGAAGTTAAAAAAAAAAAAAAAAAGTAGCCATGATGACCTTCACAAGCAAGTAACTGGGAATTAAACTATCAGGCCCTGTTTGCAAGGCAGAGAAGAAAAGGTTTTCTGAGAGTAGCAAGTATCCTGTGACTATCCTGCTAGCACATCTGGCAAATTAACAGTAAGGAAAGAATTAAATTATATTGGGTTTGTATGGGATTAGACACACATCGAAGCCTAGGCTTCGTGCCTGTTCTCTCACCGCCCTTCTGCTCCCCTGTCTTAGAAACAGTAATTTGGAGGAGGTGAGCCCGTCCTTTGAGTCCCTGGCTAGGAACCCTGCCGGCTGCAGCGTCCCAGCTCCTCCCGCTGGCTCCGGGGGGTGGGAAGGATAGTCACCGTTCCACTTGAGGTGCTGCAAGTTGCTGTAAAGGAGCTGGCCCGCCGTCCCCGCCGCCCGGATGAACTCCTGCAAACTCATGTTGCACAGGTGCTCGCCGTTGATGTCAAACTCCTGGAAGGGGATGCAGCTGGCATCCAGCTGGTTGGTGTCCAGGAGGTGCTGGAGCCATTCCCACACCTGGTACTTGGTCCAATACTGAGGATGGATTTCATGCCACTGGCCTCCAAAAAACCCACTGGAAACTGCAAGACAGAAGGTGGTTCTGTGAGTGACCCGTGGCTGTTCCTGGGCCGAATTCCAGGCAGGAGGATGCCTTGCTGGCTGCTGGAAGTCATGAGGGACACAACCACCGTCCCTGTGCTCCAGCAGGGACTGGGGCATGGGACAAGCTCTGGAGACGAAGCTCTGGGAAATGTGGCTTTTTCCAGCTGAGGTGGGGGCCGATCACTTAGGCTCCGTGCATCTTGATGCCCTCCTTAGTATAAAATACTTACTCCTGGGAGCTGGAAGAGGTCATGAGACCTGAAATAGTCTGAGATCATGAGCTCATTCCCCACCCTCCCCAAAGTCCCATTAAGGCTAAAGCATGGCTAGTTTCAGCAACTTATTATTAGCTATTGTTCGTGCCCATATAGTTTTCTTTCTCTCTTCTTCCCCCTTTCTCTCTCCCATCTTTTTCTCTCTCACACACACACATATACACATATGTATCCCAAATTCAGACCATTTCCAGCCAAAAATGAGGCCTGAGAGTAAGGTTCTTTTCTCTGTGATGCCTTTGCTTCTGCCCAAAGTGGTCCAGGTCCCTTACCTGCTAGCTACGCTGATCTCCCCCTGCCCCACTGTTTTTATAGCTACTACAAGGTCATTACCTTAGGTGGATTCCCATTTTTTTATCCACTGAAATTAGGAACAAAACTGCCAAGCCACCCATCAAGGCTCTTCACTAGCTATTTATTCTTCAGGTGACCTATAACTTTTGCCTTTTTTTTCTATGTTGTTCTTTCAGGCCAGTTTCTATTCTACCAATCACTCCCTGTTGAATTCCTGTGCAGCTTTCAAACTCTGACCACCCCGTGAGGGAAGTCATCACAGGTTTCCAACTGACTGTGAGGGCTACTGACCTCTGAGTCTCCAGGAGATGTGTTGGGCGTTTCTCCTAATGGCTTTAGTTATGTCCTGCTTTTCTTTAGGACTATCTAAGTACTGCCTTATTCTCCTCTATCAATTGTATGCCCAAGGTCATGGACTCTGTCTTACCCATCTTGGTATCTCCTATGAAAACTACCTTAGAGGCCTTGCCACCTAAGGCACTCTCTTTAGATTTTTTTAGTGGAATTTGTTGCTGAAGAAGAAATAATGTGGAAACCTGGAAGAGTGTGAGGTGCATTCACCAGATAGTCCATCCAAATACCAGTGCAGAAGAGAAGTTCATTGGAGCCAATAAAACTTGCTAAGCTTCATTTGAGCTAACCATTTATGTCTGGTTACCATCTTGTGCTCCCTTAAGAGAACATCATCAGCCCAAAGTCCTGGGGGATGGAGAAGGGAGAGCTAGCCTCTGGGAGCATGTAACAGGGCTGAGGGGTCTCACAGTCCCCTTGTAAACAGAGATCTAGGCAGAATAGCTCTCTTCTGAAAAAGTGAGGGCAGGGGTAAGAGGAATACACTATTTCAGCCCACCAAGCTGAAGCAGAGGAAATCCAGCTGAACATGGCACACAAATAGTCTCACAAACTCAAGGAAGGGCCAATAGAGGAATGCATAGCACAAGAAAACTGTCCCTAACTTTTGCTTCAAGGTCACAAGAGGTCAGTACTTCTCAAACTCTAATGTAACTATAAATCACCAGGGAATGCTGTTCAAATGCAGATTCTGAGTCCACAGATCTGGGGTGAGACCTGAGTTTCTGCATTCCTAACAAGTTTCCACATGATGATGATGATGATGATGATGATGATGATGATGGTTTGTTGATACAGTTTGTGTTGCAAGAAGCTAAAGAACCCCTAAGGATTGGATTCCCATAACGCCCATGGCCTAGCCCTCAGTACCTCCAGAGGAGAGGCCGAAGGGGGAATGTTTCCAACCCAATCCCACTTTTCTCCCTTCTTCAGAACCCACCCACTGCTTCCAGACTTCAGAAGCACTAAGACCAGTAGGTTGAGATGATTTAGGCATGAAGGTGACTGCCCTGGGTAATAGCTGCCACTCACAGTGTGTACTTATACCTCATGGCTGGACAAAAACAGCCCTACACCCTCAGCTTGGGCCCTGAAGGGGAAGCCAGCGGTGGAGACAAGGACTGGGAAAATCTAGTCTAAAATTTTAACTACATAGAAATAGTTCCAAAATATAAACACACAGTGGTTACACGGGATGTTTCCATTGCCTTTCAATCTTGGAGGTCTCACAAATACGACCGTTTAAGGATGGGATATATTTTTTGTGGTTCCATGAATCTTTGTTCCATTTTTCTAAAAGATCTGTGTTTCTATGACAGTACAGCTCTCGTAGTACAGACAGAGGCAATAACTCTCAATAACCCAACAACCGGCCTAGAATATTTCTTCACTCAACCTCACATGGTCCAGATTAAAGGATAGTTCCTGGTAGTGCCTCCTCTTAGTACTTGAAAGAACCAGAGAATTTTATATGAAGTCGACTGGGAAAGTCTCCCCATCAGCCAGTGGACTCATCAGATTCCTGAAATTTCAAGAGGAACACCTAAACTCCTATGAGTTCAGCTCTTCTCTGTCATTCATCCCCCACCCCATCAATCATGACCAGGAGCTGAGCCTTCACTGGGGCCTCAGGAAATTAAGAAGTAAAAGTGGCACCTAAGTTCTACTCCCTGCTGAACAAATTGCCTCGGTTTTCTCCAAAGCAAACAGAAAGAATGCTGCCTTACTCGAGGGCCCAGTCTGAAGAACCTCCCTGCCCTATTTGGAATCCTCCTTGGAAGTCCCTCAGGCAATCTGAGGCCAGGAACAGAAAATGTCACTGCCCAGAAAAGGCAGCAATTTGCTAGGACAGGTGACGAAGTAAGGGAAGGTCACCTGTGCAAGCTTTTAACCATGTTTGGCTGGGGTTCCGAGTTAAGAGGCGGAGCTGCAGGTGGAGACCAGCTGCCTGTTAGAGAACATACCCCTTCCATTACCCTTCCACGCCTTCTCAGACTCTGCTCTCCAACAGGCCATTTCCATTTGTTAGGGGAGTCAGAGCAGCAGAGTCTCTGGCGAGGAGATTAGCAGCAGGTGCTGGACAGGGGAACGCCCAGAGCTTCTTAAAGCCACCGCAGTTTGCGGCACAGCAGTCTGCCTAAACTGAATGCCTTCACGAAGGGGTGTGGGGCCCTGATTCAGCAACAGCTTCATTCAGTCTCGCTTCTACTGTAAGCCACAGGCTTGGTCACCAAACCCTCCCTGAGCCCCACCAACCCCTCCTCTTCTAATCAGTAGGTTCTAGATTAAAGCACTAAAGGGGGGCACATGGTCTCCTAACAAATCTCTTCTTTCTGACAAAGGTAGGTCAGTGGAACATGAAATAGAAAGATGGAGCTGTTATAACCCTTGCCTCCTCTAATTCCATGCTTCCACGCAACACACACGCACAGGTGCACATGCACGCCTGCGCACATGCATGCACACGCACACACACCTTTCTCTCCTATCCTAAGCCAAAGCCAAACTCTGTGAAAAGCTTCAACAGGTGGCCTTCCCTGTGGACATCTCTTCTACAACCTTCTCTTCCAGGCTGCCCACCCAGAACCTTGAGTCTTAGGAGGAAACAATGAAATATGTCAAGTGGGCTTCAGTGTGGAGCACCCAGGGACCTAAAGAGGGCTCCAGCATGAAGCGTTTTCTCCATTCCCATGGTTCCTCACATCTCCTGCTGTATTTTTCATACATTAAGTTATAAACAAAGCCTAATGAAAGCAAAGCAAAAATCCCCATGGGGCATGACCCCCGCAGGGCCCCCTTACCATTGCACATGGGGTAGCTGTCTGTCCAGGCTGGCTGCTGGTGGAGGAGGTTGTTGCTGGGGTTGAGATTCATTACACCACTTCCTTCCAGAATCATGATCTGTAAGGGGATCAAACAGCCCGTTCAGTCAGTGCCTCTTGGACAAACGTCACTTGAGAGTACAGGTCGGAGAGTTAATTTAGGAAGACAGCAAAAAAGAATTTGTCATTCCAACCATTGCCTCCAAGGCATATTGCCACGGCCCTTTCAGTAAAAGCAAAACTCACTGGCAATTAAAAATTTCCAGGTCCAGTTTTCATATGCATGAGGCAAGGTTTTACAGCCACCCATTCATAAATGAATAATCTCTGATCAGGAATGAAGCGGAGGGAAAATGCAATACCTGTTCACAGGGCGCGTCTGGCCAGCAGCCAAGCTTTTTTTTTTTTTTCTTTACAAAAGTGAAAATGCCAAAGAGATTTTGTTTAAAGTGGAATTGCAAACAATGAAAATCCAAGCTGGTAGTAGCACCTGTGTGAGAACCCGAAATCAGGCATTTCCAAGTCCCAGGCCATGGGGGCAGCCCCCCACTCGTGCACCCAGCAGGCATCCTCAGCACAGATATCTGCCAGGGAGTGGGCTGGGGCCAGAGGGCCTTGGTCACATTTTACCTAGAGCTCCTCTAGTATCTGGCTCGGTGATGATATCAGGAATTCATTGGCTTCCCTGAGGAAATACTGCCCCTCCCCTTCCTTCCTGGTAAGGGTTCTGACTAGCTTTCTCTCTCCTTTTAGAATGCCACAAGCTTCAAAGGTGACCGATAGGTGACTTTCTCAGTCTGAGGGCTCATTTTCTCAGTAGAGGACCCAGGAGAAGAGCCTTGCTTCCATGGGCTTGCTTGAATGTTCTAAACAATGTAAAAATTTCATAGTTTAGAAATACTCTCTTCCCTTCTCCAGTACCTATAATGTTCTCACCCCCTAGCCAGGCGCCCTCCACCTGTCAGAATCCAGCCCCATGTGAATGACTGTTCAATATTCAAAAGGAGAACAGCCTGTTTCCAGAGGCACTTGAACGATACCGACGATCTGTAAAGGTAACCCGTACTTCCTAAATGTTGAGGTGGGGAGAGAAAGCCAGCTCTCTAGCAGCAGATCATGGAAATGTTTCTGCCTGTTGGGGGGGAATCTTGCATCCTGGAGTATCCCCAACTTCCCCCAGGATCAAGGTGCCCACCCAGAGTGGTCCCAGACCTCAGACCCCTTCCTCTGATTTAGCTACTGCTCCTCTGGTTCTGTGCAGGGCCTGAGAGGGGAGGGAGGGGCCCGGGAAAGGAATAAAAGTGCATTCATATATTCATTTATTCAACAAAAATTTATCAGTCTTATGATAGGCTGGGCTCTGTCTTAGGTCCTGGGGACAGAGCAGTGATGAAGAGTTAAATTAGGCTAGACGGAGGCCTTAATGGTGACTATTAACATCGTCACCATGGTTATTTGGCAAATATTGGGCCTGAATCCAGCCTAAGTAGAAGGTGGAAAGAGAAAGACAGGGTGGGAATGATGGCCACTGTGACAGTGACGGGACCACTCGAGGTAAGACAGGAGAGCTGGGTTCTACGTGGTGGACCATGTGTAAGAGTTTCGAAGCCAGAAAGAGCAGGGGTTGACTCCAAGCTCCACCACTTACCAGCTAAGATTAGCGCTAACTCCAGCAAGTCATTCACCTCCCTGAGCCCCCATTTCCTCCGACGCAAAACACAGATCATCACACCTACCCTGGGCACTGATTGGAGGTTAAATGAGTTTCTACACCTAAGTACTTGGCACAAACTAGGGCAGAGCAGGTGTCACTGTGAGGAGAGGCACAGCCTCTTTGGGTAACTCGAACCAGAAGCAACCATGAGGCTCAGTTTCTCCACACAATCACCTAAGGAAGGTGACTACGTTGATTTTTTTAAATATGTTTTTATTGATTTTTGAGAGAGAGAGAAACGGTGTGAGAGAGAAACATCGAGGTTGCCTCCCGCACTCACCCCTACTGGGGACTGAACCCACAGCCCCGTCGTGTGCCTTGACTGGGACGACACTCACCCACCTGAGCCACACCAGCAAGAGCGACTGAATTGCTTTTCAAGTTCCCTTCCAGAAACCTCTTTGATTCTCACCATCAGAGAAGGAAAAACCAACCCAAGTTAAAACTTTCCCTTTTTCACAATAACTAGGCCTTTCCCCATCCAGCTTTTTAGAGCAATCGGCCTAAAGCAAAGGAATCAGATGAGGGATTTCAAGGCAAAAGAAAACCTCTCAGTCCCCAGAGGGTGGCTTGGGAAGGGAAGGGGCATGGCCGGCCTCCTGTTTGCTCAAGGCTCGGCCTGTTCTTCGCCAAAATTTGCTCAACCACAAGCAATAAAAAGGTTACTGTTTAACCCTGAAAGGGCTGAAGCTCAGAGCCCAGCCCATCTGCATGGAGGAATAGGCCCTGCAGGCTGGGGGGATGGGCAGGGAAGACTTCCCTGAAACCCTTTCACAAGGATTTGCCTGCAGGGCTGTTTCTAAGTGACCATTTCAGTGGAAGCAAGACCTGCCCTGGCCAATTCTGAGTTACCTGCTGGGTTGGCTCAGATCTGTTCACCACTTCCCAAAATAAACCCCCAGAAAGCAGGGTGATGTAAGGGCTAAGCACCCTGGTTTTGGAGTTGGGGAGAAGTGGGCTCAGATCCTAGTTCCCCTGATTACTGTGCATGACCTTGAGCAACTTCCAAGTCTGTTTAACCAAAAATGTTCTGATTTTCACTTTCTCCACCTGTAAAATAGGAACAATCCTACACTCAAAGTACTGTAAGACTCCAAGGAGGTCGGACGTGGAGAGAACTTAGCAGGTAGTAAAAAAGAATTCAGTCAGTGTCACAGGACAACATGGACCAATTCTCCCCTGGTGACCCAGTGCCCACAAGCCCCTTTCCTCAGGGAATGCATCATTTCTTGCCACGACCTTCTGGAGGCATCCACAGAGGAGCCTTAAGGACTACAAGATCGCAGTGCCCCATCACTGCTTGCCCCCCATGAGGCTGGCGTATGTGAGCACTCTCCCTCCTGGCACCCCCTTCCCTAGGGAAAGCAGCCAGCATAGTGAGGGGCCCTTTTTTACAGGGCTCAGTAAATGGTTACTACTCATAAAAGAGTTTATGTGGCTTAACCCTTAGTGAGTCACAGTTCACTCGAGCTCACCCAGCCTTGTGAGAAAAGAAGGTCAGTGTTTCTAGCCCAGCCTGCCATCGCAGGGACAGTGCCCTCAGGGTGGGCACAGAAGGCCCAGGCTCACACAGCTGAAGGCCCTTCACCAGCCCTATGCCCCTCTGGGGCCCAGTCCTTCAGGTGTAAAATGAGGACATCTGCCCCCCAACAGCCTCAGAGGACTGCTGTGGAGATCAAATGAGATAATGGATAATAAATGTGCCTTGAGAATTTTTTTATAAAGAGCATTATTACAACTAACTCACCACACTCCCCTATACTAATATAGAACTTCTATGGTACCTAGTGATTACTTTATGGGGTATGAAAAGTAATCTTTTTAATTTAAAAGTAGGGGGATTATTTACTACCCTTCTTTAAGCTTCCTACTTTACCTTCAGCGTAGCTTTTATTATTTCCTACAAAAAGGGGGGAGGGACACAAAGAAGAGCAAAGCATCAAAGATATGAAGGAGAGACTTGGAATCTTTGAAGCCTGGCTTAAAATTCAGGCTGCCTCTCTGAGCCATGTGCCCTCGAGTATGCTAACTTTTCTGAGCCTCAATTTCTTCCCTGGTTTAAGATGGGGAGTCATGAGAAACGTAGATGTCCTCTAGGCCTGAGGACAGCTTTGAAGGATAAATAGTCTAATGGGTTTAAAGGTGCCTAATCGGGCACCAGCACACATGCCCTCAATAAAAATCAGTTTCCTTTCCTTTCTTTAAACATCAGTATTTCTCTAACACACTTTACTTTTTCCAGGGCTGAAGAAGTGAATTCAGAGCCTAAGTAAGAAAGATTTCTGCTCTTTGAGTCGAAAGCAAGCTTGAAAAAGGACTCACCCCTCCTCATCTCCAGCTCAAAGGGGAGTTTGGGGGGGGGGGGCCTCAGCCACCTGCACTAGGTGAAAAGCAGCAATTCTGAACCTCTGCATGACAGATGTTTGGGGCTGTGTGGTTCTTTGTTGCAGGGTCATCCTGTGCATTGCAGGATGTTTAGCTACATCCCTGGCCTCTAGCCATTAGATTCCAGCAGCATCTCCACACACACACACACACACACACACACAAATGTCCCCTGAAGCTAAATCACCCCCGGTTGAGAACGCTGGTTAAAGGCAGAGGCCATGGAAGTGACAGCTCTGACTTTGATCTTGCTAGGGTGGTGACCTTGGGCAGTGGGAACAGGCATGGCATTAGTACCTACCACTAGGCTTGCGAGAGAGTTAAATGAGATAAAGGACAGTAAGGCCCCAGGACAGTGCATGGTACAAACCAAGCTATTGCATCCTAGGCGGAGCTTTAAGAAAATGCATGGATATCAGGGCCAGCTTTGTCTCTTCCCAGGTGGTATCCTGGGAATTCAGCATAAATTGTTGCTAGGGCTATCAAAAAATGCACACACACATGAACTGTAAGGTGTATTTCAAACCCCAAGACTGAAATGCAATGTAGATTATCCAGGGTTTTTCCCCCTCTGCATTCTCTTATCCCCGCTTCACGTGCAGGAAAAATGGGGGGAAGAGTATTTGACTCCAGACCCCCATTAATCATCCAGACTTTCACACTGACCGAGGCGTCACCCCCTATGCAAAAGTTTGCGAGACTGACACCCTTGGAGACTGACACCTGCAACTTATCGGAAGAGGAGGAGCCACGCGTGCTACCCAGTAGACTACAGTGCAGATGGGAACCTCGCCTCAGGCTTCCAGCCAGGGCCTACTGGACCTTAGGCAGCAGCTCCCCTGCAAATGACGGGCCACGAGGGTTTGGCCAATCCGAGACTCATTTTTGCTGTGCTGGAGTGGCCCCTGCCTGCGTCGTGGCAGGAGGGGTAGGTCACTCCCTGCTCCCCACTTTGTTAATGGGCAGTTTCAGATTAAACA